TGTCTGCAACAAAGTTTCTGTAGAGCCATTGTTTTTAATTATCTTCAAGCCATCAATACAGTGATTGTCTCCATATATCCTGCCATAAAGACTGAAGATCCCTAGACCTACTGCCTGGAATATTTACAATATTTTCTGCACTTAGCATAAGTTTATTACATACAGACACGGTCTGTATGTAATACAGACCATGCTTGCCGCCTCTTGTATACGCAAGATTTTGATTGAACAAAAGGAAAGCTAAATTTTTACTGGAGTTTAAAGATAAACTGAAGCAATGGCGTACAATTATGAATCGTAGAGAGACGCACGTCTCTGACTCTGCAGCATTTTCTTGGAATTCAACTCGACCTATTTATTCATTTTTTATTTGCTCAGCCCTCGGCCGAGTTTTTTTTGTTTTACTTATCCTCACTGTTAAGCTTTCTTCAAGTCTTACTCATTCTCACGGTTAAGCATTTTTAGCGCATTTTCTCATTTATGGAAAAAATGCACTATTGTGCTCGCCATGTCCGTCTGTCCGTGACTTAACGTGTTCATTGATTTCAAGAGAACTCTGGAGTGTCGTGATCTAGATTATAGTTTTAAATTGGTCGAAGATTGGCCTTTCCGAAAATATGTAAGATAACCCAGGTCTTGATCTCAGCCATCATAAATAATTGACATAATAAATAAATAATACGCGCACCGGAATTCTTAGCGCATTTTCTCATTTATGGAAAAATGCACTATTGTGCTTGCCATGTTCGTCCGTCCGTGACTTCACGTTTTCGTCGACGAGGAAATTCGCTCTCTGTCACTCACTAGTGAATACTGAATTATATTTTTTGTCTTAATCATCGTCACGGTTAAGCTTTTTCTTTCTTACTCGTCCTCACGGTTAAGATTTTTTGTCTTACTCATCCTCACGGTTAAGATTTTTCTTTCTTACTCGTCCTCACGGTTAAGATTTTTTGTCTTACTCATCCTCACGGTTAAGATTTTTCTTTCTTACTCGCCCTCACGGTTAAGATTTTTTGTCTTACTCATCCTCAAGGCTAAGCCTTTTCCATGTCTTACTCAACCAATATCAGAATTTATTTCCTTCGTACCTCGACTAAGCCAGGTCATTACCACGCGGGCTGGTGAATGAAGGTGAGTAAAAGACTGGGTGTTCGCAGGCTCTATTCATACAGCATTGCAGCCTTCAGCCAATAACACGTTTAACCATGATAAGAATGCGACAAATAATAATTTAAAGATAATCAACACGATGGAAGTAAAGATTACAAGTTAGGCAGAAGATGTCCGCCACCGGAAACATAACATTAGTTAACAAAAAACTTCCTTAACACAACTCGTAAGTGCATAGGCTTCACGTGTGTAACAAATTTATAATGCTTTTGTACAGGTCTTATTCTTATCCAATATTGTACAAATTTATAACGCTTTTGTACATTTTTACGTCGAATATAATTTCATCTGCGAAATTTGGTATAATTTGGTAGGTACATCTTCAAACCGAGAGCCAGACGCGATTTTAATGTTAAAGAATAAATTCAAACATTTCTTCCAGAATAAAAACTTACTTCGAGAAAACGAGCGCAGATTTTGGTCTGCATTAACAAATAAAGAATAAATTTATAAACATCAGAACATGAAGAAGGTACAAATAAAATTTAGTTCCGTAGTTCTAATATTAGAGAAATAATTTAGGAAAGCTTTGTACGAGAGTTGAACTCAACTCGAACAGGCTACAATATTTCCTCGATGTTAATATAAGGAAGACGTATTAATTAATAATAAAGAAAGCAAACGTAACGTCAAGCTTAAAATAAAGTGGGAAGATGAGATCAAATTGGACGCGATCCTCCCGTAGCGCATTCACGGTCGCCGTTTCGGTGGCCAACCTTGATGGCATATACAGTCAGCCACATTTGGATGGCCACCGATAACCCGACCATAACGCCCACTCACTTCTTGAGCTTGAAAACGCATACTCAAACATAATTACGGCGTCGTAAGTTACCTAACTAAAGGTCTCTTATAGAATTTACGACGGCCACTGTACTTACGACCACCGTTCATACGACCACCATTCATACGGCCATCGTACATACGACCACCGTATTTACGACCATCGTACTTACGACCATCGTACTTACGACCACCGTTCATACGACCACCGTACTTACGATCATCGTACTTACGACCACCGTTCATACGACCACCGTACTTACGACCACCGTATTTACGACCATCGTACTTACGACCACCGTACTTTCGTACTTACGACCACCGTACATACGGCCACCGTACTTTCGTACTTACGACCACCGTACATACGGCCACCGTTCATACGGCCATCGTACATACGACCACCGTACTTATGACCACCGTAACTATGTCTGAGCATACGCTGCATACGCATTCCCCGGCAACATACGGGGACCCAGTCTAGCAGCAAACTACATACTGTATGTTAGAACAAACCACCTTCAGCGGACCACTTAATCGCGCGCGTGCCCAACACAGATGAGGGAAGGGTATGTCGGGGTCAGGTGAGGGCATGATAAAGGTATGACGAATGTATGATAGGGTATAATCAAGGTATGAAGGGTTTATAGCAGGGGCATGATGAGGTATATGACAGGGGTATGAAGAGAGTCTGACGAAAGTATGACGGGAGTAAATGAGGTGAGACGAAAGTATGAGGAGTAAGATGGTAAGATCTATGATAGTATGAGTGTATGACGAAGGCATGATGAGAGTATGATGATGGTATAACGAGGCATGCTTGGCACCATTCCAAGTCAGGTTTACAATGCGCATTTACCGACAAATACGATATAATAGATAATAAATTTTTACATAGAGAACAATAACCCCTTACGCTAGCTGAAAGACGAGCTCACCAACCCTGGGCACAACGAAAAGGGCCAGAAACAAACCCACGTAAAAAATACACTTGTCCCACCTAGAAAAGTTTAATTGCGCAGCTAGAAAAGACAGTTAAATGAGCAAATTTGCTTAATAATGAACTACTCTGAGAGAAAAAACTTTATTTGGTCTTGGAAATTACAAGACGCGAGGGTCAAGGGCACAATGCTATTGTTATTGGTGCTGTAAGAATATCATTCTTCTACTTCATTACGTTATTCCTACCTGAAACTTTTCAACTAATGTTCCCAACACATGAGATCGCACGTGATATATATAATTTATAACATTTTTACATACACGTGTATGGGAGAAGTAAAGTTATAAGTGGTACAGCAGCAGCCACGATGACGCGTGTCAACATAGTTACTTCAGTAACTACAATCATGACAATGCATAAATATAATGTTCATAAATAACCATAAGATCGAAACTTTGAACATCGCTATGATGTAAGATGGTTAAACATTTAATGGATGTAAGATTGCTTGAACATTGCAATGATTTAAGATGGTTAAACATTTAATGGATGTAAGATTGCTTGAACATCGCAATGATGTAAGATGGTTGAACATTTAATAGATGTAAGATTGCTTGAACATTGCAAAGATTTAAGATTGCTTGAACATTGCAATGATTTAAGATTACTTGAACATTGCAATGATGTAGAATTACTTAAAAATCGCAATGATGTGAACGTAATATTTCATTTGTTGTGTTCAATATTTTCATTTTCTCCACGCTATTTTATTGAGTGTATGTCGCTAAGCTCTCGTTACTCGAACACGAATTTAATTGCTGTGTCAGTTTTTAGCTAATAAAATGATTAAAGTAGACAAAGTTTTCGTTCCCCTAATTATAATTACGATAATAATAATCGATTTATTCCATTTATTAATTATTATATAAGGAACCCTATTGATACAGGGAACCCTGATTTTTGTACGTAAAGCTTAAAGCTTTGGAGATAAAGAAGTTCGTCTTTATTGCTACTTCGTCCGACGTGGAGCGTCAGCCGGCCTTCCCGTGGCCGCCGATAACCCGGCCATAATTCAGCGCACCCTGGTCGCACACACTTAGAGAAATCAACGAGATTATGTCCAAAACGCCATGCACTCCTTGCTGCTGTCTGAGTCATCCTGACCCACTTTGCTATAGGGACAGTTAATTACCCACTATAATTATTAGTGGGTAATTAACACTTAATTACCCACTATATTTATTAGTGGGTAATTAACAGTTAATTACCCACTATATTTATTAGTGGGTAATTAACAGTTAATTACCCACTATATTAGGGACAGTATATTACCCACTATATTTCTGGAGTGCACAAACCGCCACTAATTGCAAACTGGTGATAATTTTTAAATAAATATAAACATTTTAAAGACGTAAAATCTGGCCAAACATGATTATTAATTCACGAATTTCTAAGAAGCGAACAGTTAATTTTGTCGCGTGGTTCAATGGAGGCCGAAATGACGAGTGTTATCAAGCAACCATACCAGAACAAATGCAAACTCAAGACTTAAATAATGCTAACTAAAACTGCAAGTTTTCAAAACATTATCCGTGATGAAATAAAGTTATTGATGAAACAAAGGCTGGATTAAGCTACAAGACACATGGCGTAACTTACACTAGGCGTCTAAAGAAATAAGCAAGGGTATATATATTCCCATGTAGTACCATATCATCACCACTAACCATGTAACTACAACTAAACCTAACTTTGATAGTTAATGAAAGCACTGTTCATAAACATCTCCAAAAGGAACACCACAGTAGAACAAATCAAATGAAGAACAGGGTCAGTTTGACAGGATTTTTAATGCCAGTGGTAATTGATGAATGTTGATGTTGTGAATCTGGAAGACTTGGACACGTTTTAATTCGAAGACACTTTGAATTAATGATACTTCAGAGAAACCGAATAGGCAGATCCACCCCGCAATTTAGATGGCTCAGCGACAAACTACACTGTTGGAAATTAAGGTGAAAAAACAGCGGCAGCTTCGTGACAGCAAGCAGTATGGCCATTTTTTCCAAGTATGGTTCGTGTTTTGCATGTATACTTGAAAAAAAAAATGGAGATACGGTTTAGCTTCAAGGGCGGCCGGGCTCTAAAATGACGGTCAAACCGTTTTGCGGCGTAAACGCGAACAGTGTAAAGATATTTTTCAAACATGGTATATTTTAGAACATTGTATAAGCGGGATTGGACATAGTTACTTGGTTAACAATTTAAGAGCGTACGGTCTATACCCGGCTCACGAAATCGACTGCCCGGCTCAAGAACCCAAGCCTCTGATGCCAGAGCTAAGAGCCTCGCCAGCCTTCAGTACCAGTTCTCGTTGAACATTCGTGGGCTTAACCGTTCGTGAACAGAAACGTTCGTTTACTGAATCGTTCGTGAACAGCAATGCGTTGGGTTGAACTTGTGAACAGCAACGTTCGTTGGCTGAACTTTTCGTGAACAGCGACGTTCGTGGTTCGAGATCAACCGTAGCTTTGTTGGATAAGTAAAGAACAAAGAAGAAGAATAACATAACTATATATAAGAGGCGTCACTCGATAAATAGCGAATAATAGCTTCTTATGTCTAACTATAATAATCATCCAACAACAACAAACAAAAGAACAAATGCAAGAAACTTGGAAAAGATTCTACAGGATAAGGAAATTAAGAAAAGTTCTGTCCATAGCGGGGCTGCCCCAGCACAAGTGACAGAGAAGAACAAAAATCTAGCGATGAATTACAAAGAGAACAAAAGCTGTACAAGGGAAGATAACACTGAGAACAGATGTGAATTTTGTACTGACATATCAGATGAACTAAAAAGAATAAATAACGTGAGATCGTGGGAAGAAAATTGTTCGTACTGCTTCTGTTCTAGCGGCAGTGGTTCTTACTGCTTCTGTTCTAGCGACAGTGGTTCTTACTGCTTCTGTTCTAGCGGCAGTGGTTCTTACTGCTTCTGTTCAAGCGGCAGTGGTTCTTACTGCTTCTGTTCTAGCGGCAGTGGTTCTTACTGCTTCTGTTCTAGCGGCAGTGGTTCTTACTGCTTCTGTTCTAGCGACAGTGGTTCTTACTGCTTCTGTTCTAGCGACAGTGGCAGTTGCTGCGCTAGTGGCAGTGGCAGTGGCACACTGCAAAGCCTCTCTCATGCAGTGTCGCAGCATTTCAAAGCAAGAAGTAGCCTGTGCAAGAACATTGTCATAATCCACAGGTCGCCCGCATAATACATCAAATTAGAGTGTGTATGATACGCGCGTGGATTGTATTATGAGCCAACACGTGAAGACGGTGTATGGGTATACATAGGACGATGTATGGGTATACATAAGACGATGTATGGGTATACATAAGACGATGTATGGGTATATATAAGAACAATTTAGCTGCGGTTAACGCATGAGATCGTTCGATCGAAGCCTCTATCGACGCTTGAGATTCCCTCTCCGTTTGGGAGGCTGTCACCGCGAGAAGTTCTCTCACCAGAGCAAGCCTCACATCGTCGGGATCGAGGAGGCGTGTATGAGAAGACCTTGGAGGCTCGATTCCGACGATGTGTGGGCTCTACTGGTAAGAATACTTCCCGCTGTGAAGTTCACATTATTTATTATTTCACATTACTTTCCGTTACCACGTTACAGGTTACACGCCACGCACGCGTGTGTGTTAACCTACAATCCACCTTGCGCACAACTTAACGTGTCAATAATAAGTATACTTCAACACGTCACGATACGTACATACAATGTACGTACCCAACGTACCTGTACGTACACAATAGGTTGGCATGTATCAGTGGCCTCATCAAATAACTCCACACACACACATCTCATACATCTCGTACTTAAAGCGTATACACCTTGAACACAAAACGTATTCATCCCGCACACACAAGGCAAACATCTCGTACTTACATCCCGACACACGACGTAAGCACCTCGCACACTCCATACACAGCACCTGGTGGTGCAGTTCAAAAGAAGGCAACTCACAACATAACATCCAGCAATTAACAAAATTCGTATAAAACCACAAAGGTAGGCGCTATCTGTGATAGCAGATATTATTCATTAATGGCGAGACTGCTAATGACATTCCACTGATGGTTAGGTTGCTAACGACTTGTCACGTAATGGTTTCTAGGACGTGAGGGTAGATATCATGATATCATGATTCCCCTCATCATGGGGGGGGGGTTGGGAATGAAGAGAAGAGGGGATTTTGGGGAGACAAGTTGAGGTCCTCACTGATTAGAATGATAAAATGGGGCATAAACTGAGGAGGAACTGGAGGAATGTTAGATGGGAAACAGCATTTTCCCCGCTCAGTAGGAGAGAAAATTGGGGTAGAATGGAACGAGGAAGATGCGTCTTCTCTTGTGAAGGAAAATATAAGTCTCCCCTTGAGAATAAGAAGATATGTTGCGTATGGGGAGGGAAAAATGTGTAGCATCTCAGGGAGGGGAAGATGAGTGGCCCCCTCACTCGGCGTGGGCGGGGCGGGGTTTCTTGTGGACGTGGTCGGGGGACGTGACGGGCTCCCCAGTGGACGACAGGGGACGCTTGCGGTGACGCAGGTAATCTGCGGGCACAGAAATATACAGGATTAATACAAGAACTTATACTCTTAAGGGATTAATACGGTGAATTTATGAAGGATTTATACAAGAGTAATCGCCCAGTAAACTAACACAGGATTAATACAGGAACTTATACTCTTAAGCGATCAATACGGTGAATTTATGAAGGATTTATACAAGAGTAATCGCGTAGTAAACTAACACAGGATTGATCCAGGAAATTATACTCCTAAGGGATTAATACGGTTTATACAAGAGCAGTTGCGCAGCGAACCAACACAGGATTAATAAAGGATAAAAGGTGCGGTGAACAAATTCAAGATTTATATAAGAGTTGAGACACGATGAATTGAATTATACTAACAAATAAGACGCGTCACGAGTGCCATGAAAGTGACAGAGGGTGATGGGTATAAGCAACCATGAGCTTGCAGTAACAGCAGAACATGGCGAAAATGAGCAACAAGCATTCGGTAATTAATGCGTTACTTGTGAAACTCCAATAAATTGACTTAATTTTATTCACCAGACAAGTGCTGCTGCTGTTGTGCATAATGGAGAAGTTGATAACAAACTGACTCAGGTGAAGACAAGACAGTCATGTACACACAGCAGCGCTTAAAGCGTGTACAAACGTTCACAGCAACGCTCGGCTGGTGTTAACCATCTACCGTCTGACATGAGTAACCGGAGCAATATTTTCACAAGAATACTTCACAAAAAAGATACGTTCTAGTGAGAGCAAAATGACTTGAACTGATGGTTGCCGCCATGTACGATAACTTTAAAATGTTCTCTGTTGCGTAAAAACGTCCTCAGGTTGCTACACTCAATAGTTTACGTATAATTTAAGATGAACGTTATGTTCCCGGAGAGTGACATACCGCGCGGTAGTGGGTTACAACGTGCTTAAACGTTTGCGCATGCTTGCTGACGTTTGTAAATGCTTGTGAACGTTTATATACATACAGTAGCATTCGCATCACGCCAGACGGCGCATCTACGCCACTTGCTCTCCAGCTTTCGACAAGGGGACCCAGCTCATAAAAAAAGTTTACAAATCAAACCTTGAAATTTCGGGTACTTTATGATGGTAATATTTAGCGGATAGCTGCGTTATCCAAGCAATTGAAAAAATCCAAAGTTTCCCGCATGAATAGACTTACAAAACAACGTCTGCTCCTGATCTTTCTTGACTGAATCGGTATGCGGATTCAGTCTACTTCTGATACAGCGGCATGCGGATATACCGCTTCTACTACAGCGGTACCAGATTTACATCTACCATGCAGGCCGGTATGCAGTCGAAGATAAATAAAACATGTTTTTGCGGCGCATCAGTGAATGGCTGGAAGGTTTTTAGGTCCGCCTCAATGTACTGTATACAAGGGAAAGTTACTTCTTTGTATCACTGCTACGTGAGTAGCGCTAGCCTGCTATTGAAGCATTGTTGGCCACACCCTGGGCAGTCAGCAAGGCAGCGTGGGGCTATAGCAATAGCTGTCGCTATATTATAGGCAATACGCTAGCAAGTAGCTGTCTTTAGGCATTAGCTGTCTCTAGGCAATTCTCTGGGCGACAGGCATTTTTCGCGACGTAATTCTCTAGGCAGTTCTCCATGCAATATAGTTTTCGCGATGTAATTCTCTCGGCAAAAGCTTTCCCTAGCTAATTCTCCAGGCAATATCTGTCTCGAGGCAATAGCTTTCGTGAGGCGATTCTCCAGGCAATATCTGTTTCGAGGCAATGTCGGTCTCGAGGCAATAGCTTTCGCGAGGTGATTCTCCAGGCAATGTCTTGAACGCGGCTGCATTCCTGTAAGTTAACACGCACTTCGTATGACGCGCCTGATAGACAATACAGGTGTGTTAGAACGCTAGGAATTGTGTTAATTGCTTCACAATATTATGTAAGCAAGCACCGCTTAAGATCGGCATGTGATAACACGCCAATAGAATTAATAATGTCGTGGCCAATTAGTCGGCATGGCTTCGGATCACAGATATTTAGCTCCCTATTCTCTAACAAACTCCATTTTAAAGACCGAGTTGGTGGTGTTACACGATAAAGACTAACTTGGTTCCAACAATAACAAGAGAGTAGTAGTGAGAGTACTTCCGTATGTCGCCATATCATGACTAATGTATACCATAAAATGTAAGTTGTCTCGGTGAACGATCTTAGTCAAAGGTCCATATTTCTCTCATTAGTTTATGCACAGAAGTAAATCAACAACTGTTTGGTGATATATATTAATGCGAAATATCATAAACAATTAATATTGGCATTCAAACTTAGCACCGTATGTCAGTTAAAAGCTATTGTGGAAGAGATAACATGGATACGGTAACAGGCTTATTGCAGCACGTAAAATTGTCTTACAAAGTTAAGACGCCGAGTCGACCTTTGTTGTACCCTCACCTATCGCGGGGGTTACCGTCTAGACCGCGGCTGCGGTAGCCGATCGACCAATAATACTTATTCAAGGATTTATAATGTAATCGTTCCCTAAGTTTCAAGTTTTCACAAACTCTTTCTACACTATTTCTGCCACTCGACTTCTTGCGAAGCCCGCGAAACTGAGAGATCCGCCAATTGTTCTTCTCAGTAATATTTTTTTGGAAACCCGTGATGACGTGAATACGCAATACAGCGAGGAATTACTGTACTCCGACGCAAAGCTACTGCACAGCAACACCACACAGTTGAGGTAGAGTTGGTATAGCGCAGGAGTACTGGGTAGATCAGCACACGTCTACAGCTGAGGTAGAGTTGGTACAGCGCAGGAGTACTGGGTAGATCCGCACACGTTTACAGCTGAGGTAGAGTTGGTACATCGCAGGAGTACTGGGTAGATCCGCACACGTTTACAGCTGAGGTAGAGTTGGTACAGCGCAGGAATACTGGGTACATCAGCACACGTCTACAGCTGAGGTAGAGTTGGTACAGCGCAAGAGTACTGGGTACATCAGCACACGTCTACAGCTGAGGTAGAGTTGGTACAGCGCAAGAGTACTGGGTACATCAGCACACGTCTACAGCTGAGGTAGAGTTGGTACAGCGCAGGAGTACTGGGTACATCAGCACACGTCTACAGCTGAGGTAGAGTTGGTACAGCGCAGAAGTGCTGCACACGTCCAAGTTATTTATACGAGCACGAGCGTCCGCACGCTTCTCGCCCCCCTCCCCCACACCCCTAATTGCTGTAACAGCTATGCCCTCTGTTGCTGCTAGTGCTGCTCTTCTGCTGCTAGTGCTGCTGCTCTTCTGCTGCTAGTGCTGCTGCTCTTCTGCTGCTAGTGCTGCTTTTTTGCTGCTAGTACTGCAGCTGAAGCTGCTATTGCCATTGCTGGTGCTGCTGTTTCAGCTGCGGGCAATGATTGTGCAGTTGCGGTCAACGATGAATAATTCAGTGGCTAAGTCAACAGGTCACGCGATGTCATGCGCTGCACAGGAGTAGGTCCGGGTTGTGGCCCGAAATCGTACAGAATTGTGACAGTAACACTAGTGACGTAACACTAGTGACAGTAATAACAGTGACAGTAAGTAACACTGCAGTGACAGGGCGAGCGCAGAGGCGAAGCCATCAAGCCAACACAAGAGAAGAGCTTAGCGGGTTCGTTGAGCTTGGACCGATGCCAGACACCGCCACACTGGCAGGAGAGTAAACTCGTCTAAATAAATCTCATCTAAACAAACAATAATGCAGCTAATATGATCATAATAATATCCGTCAATGAGGAATAAACATGCAATGCAGAAAAATAAGCATGAGTAAGTAGTAAGAATGAGTAAATAGTAAAGTTACGAAAACAGCACAAGTCCAGTTCGAGTTTTGGGGTAGTGCGCAACAGCAGCAGGACTGCGGTTGCCAGATACAAATGTTGGCGAGATGCTAACACACGTGTGTATATACTAACTTCGCTGTGTCACTTTGAATTATTTACTTTTTTCACGACGACTAGAAAGTAATGATGTGAAATTGAAGAAAGATAGTCGGCTAAACTACGATGATTGATGAAAAAACTACACGAATGCCGGCACGAACATAAATGCTCGCGAAAATGCCGATACGCTGTGACGCTCTTGGATAGACTTGTACAGATGCGTTCAACACGGCAATTTAAATTGAAAGCTATCACAATATCAGAAGGTCATCATGAAAGCATCACACTAGAAACTACTATTTTTAATCTATCTATTAATTTAGATAGATGCATCTAGACCCTTTTACTCGGCAAAATGTTTTAGAAGGAATTGAAGTAGCAGCTGATGACATAATGCAGGCTTGTATGAACGCTCGGACGTGCAACTAAAGATGGTGATGGTGTGTGTGGTGACCACGAGCTGCCCAGAAGCCGTGATGAGCTTTAACAGAGGTGCAGTCATGCCTTCACACCGCACATCACAAACACACAAATTATATATGTGGTAGCTGCTCCTAACTGAATAGTAGGTTTAGTAGGTTAGTCCTTAACTGCCACGCCGACACACGAGTCCTGAAGCTTGCAACGTTATTCTTACCTGACTTGTAGGTTAGCCTTTTACTGCCACGCCGACACACGCGTCCTCAAGCTCGTAACGTTATTCCTACCTGACTTGCAGGCTAGCCCTTTACTGCCATGCCGACACAGACGTCCTCAAGCTTGTAACGTTATTCCTACCTGACTTACAGGTTAGCCCTTTACTGCCACGCCGACACACGAGTTATCAAGCTCGAAACGTTATTCCTACCTGACTTGTAGGTTAGCCCTTTACTACTGTTAGCCCATGCGCTCACTTTGCGAAACTTTATTCCTGTTAGAGCTGAAAATCAGACAAGATCATAATCAGGTTATAAATATGTGTAGTTCCTCAATAACGGGCACTTAATGACACTTGTCGCAAGTGTTCCTTACCAAGTGCATCGAGTTAAATAACCTCAACTTACCTCACCGCTCAACCAACCTTACTACTCAACTAGCCTCACCTAGACTCACAACTCAACTAGCCTCACAACTAAATTAGCCTAACAACTCATCTAGCCTCACACTTCAACTAGCCTCACACCTCGACTAGCCTCACACCTCGACTAGCCTCACACCTCGACTAGCCTCACACCTCGACTAGCCTCAGCTACCAGTGCTAGCTCAGCCCGCGTAAGCACTCAGTTCACATAACTAGCTCTTCTCAACACAAGGACGTTAGAAATTAATTACAGTCACCGACGCACGCCTGCCACAGCAGTGATCTGATACAGTTGATCCTGCGGTGAGATAATTTGCGGCGTTAGCAAGCGAACCCTATGACCTACCGGCACCCCAAGGGCGGAGAAAGCAGCGCTTACATGCAGGCAGCCAACGTCGAGGTCGCGGTATTACCAGACCAAACGTTAAAAAATATTCAATACACACGATGATTAACACCGTGAATAAAGTAGGCGTTACAGTTTAATATACAGTTTAAGCTGGTGCGAGACGACGCTGAAATTACTGGTAATTATTCAAGTAAGGAAAGAATCCATAGATGAATAACCACTGTAAGTTGTTTCATACTTCCACATATTCGTACCTGAAGACCTGCTAACTAGAGTAGCCGACAGTAGATGACAGTTCAACACGTTAAGTAAATTTATTGCCAAGTTATCATGCAAATGAACATCATTATTACAACACGCAACTTACCTATCATAGAAGTCTGCTTGGTGTGCGTCGTCGGGGGTCGCTCTAGTGGCGCAGGCGTGACGGCGGCAGCAGCAGACACAGCGTCGTGAGTATTGCTACACTCGGGCTGTAATCTGTCGCAGTTACCGCTACTGTCCTCGATATTACTAGGACATGAGGCGTTGGTATCATTAAACGAGGGATTATCAACAATAAACGATGTTTTAATAGCTGAAAACGAAGTATTCCCATCATGTGGTCTATTATCATCAATAGAAGATTGGTTTCCATCAAATGATGAATTGCCATCAACAGGCACAGCATTTCCGAGCCTAACTTCGTCCACGTTGTTGTTGAAAGTTGAAGATGAAGCCGCGTCTTCGTTGGCGAAGTTGAGAGTTCGTTTGGCGTTACCACCCGAGGTCGGGGGCTTGATTGCCCGTGATTTCTTGGTGCGTGTTTGCGTAATGCCTTGTGCACCACTCGCGTGAGTGGCAATGCTTTGTTCACCACTCGCGTGAGTGGTAATGCTTTGCGCACCACTCAGATGAGTGGCTGTGTTTTGTGCACCACTTGCGTGAACGGTAATGTTCTGTGTACCACTCGCGTGAGCGGCGGAGCTTGTGATAACACTCCTGAGAGTGGCTGTGCTCTGTACTTCCCTGTGAAAAGATTCGAGGCACTTGGTGGCAGCGACAGACTCGGCCTGCAGATGACGCATCTTATAAGCCACGGGAACGTGCGACGTCTCCGTCCACTGGTATATACCATCTAGAGGCCTGTCTTCTTTGAAGTCGAAATTATATTTACGTGTTTCTTCGTCTGCGATTTTTTGAAGTTCCTGATTAACGAACCTGCGGTTTTCATCGTGGTCAATTGGTCCGAAGAGACTGCGACGCACGGTTATCACGGGAACGGAACTAGCACCGATCAAGTCACGGGGAGTTTCTGACACATGGTGTCTAGTACTGGTAGTGGTGATGGTACTAGTGGCAGCCATGGTAGTGCCGTCATTAATGGTCGTATCGTCGGGTGCTATTGGTACCATTCGTCGCAGTTCTGACATTCTACAGAAAGTGATGGGCGCAAGCAGAGGTCTACGAACTGCCGTCACTGTGCTGTTCATTTTGCTTGTTTACTTCAGCTAGTCTTCCCCTTTCTTGAGCTTTCTCTCATATGTATTTTAGCAACTTATAAAAAAATCTTCGTATTACTGCATTTATGATTCTGCTAGTGAAATAACAGAGTCTTGGAGAAAATAATATCGCGCGTTGAATGTGAAGCCGAATTTCCTCATGAATAATAAATAAAACTTGATAGAAAAATGATTTCACTTGGGCAAAATTCTTCCTGGTTGTAGTTATTTCTTGCAGTCACTAGAAACAGTACCATCGATGAAACATGAAGAAATGAATTATATAATACATCTCATGACCTGAAGACACTCCAATAAAAGTCAGTTTGATGACACTATTGAGGAAGATGTAAGATATATGCGCGGTCATGAGGGCCTCAAGCCGCTGCAACGATTAAACACTGAGTCACAGTACTTCACTTCGGAATAATTATTTTAGTTTTTCAATTAATAGAAACTTAAAAAAGCACTTCCTTTTTATATCACCGATAGTAAGTGTCACTAGTTTTTAATGCGGACGTGGCGAAGTACGGCACTCGTTTGCAAGCCTACTATTGATATTTTTCGGGATTTTTTTTGTAGCTTCTCAACAAGTTGCTACCCTAGCCAACCAATCTCGGTTCAGAACACATACGTCACAAGTCACTGGATGCAAGAAACAAAATAAAGTCGGATAAACTGATAGTATATATTGTTTGACACTGTTCAGGTTTTTCTGCACTCCTATTATTTTGCGTTGAAAATTGCAATTGAGAGGAATACAGATTATGTGAGCGAGAGATGAGATGGCGGAGCGTGCGATTGACACACCTTCCCTCACGACCGCCGAAGACGAACTGAAGGCATTTGGAATAGAAAAGAAACAGCAACAATTCTCAGTGAAGTTCGCTCGGCTCAACTTGAAATTTTTATCCTATTTACAATATCATTGGTTATTGCCTATCACAATAACATAAGATGTAAAGAATATTGTACGGTAGAAGTTTTTTTCATCATATTAAGTTAATAAAAAAATTCATTTGGAGAAGAGATGAAGTTTTTGATCAATGTTGACTTTGGTGAAGGCATCATGAGTCAACCAATGAGAATGTCGCAAATCACAGCCTCGACCAATCGTGCACAAGCTCATACTACGATTCCCTTAGGTTCATTGAGTTCTGTTTTGAATTTCTGTAGTAAGCGTCACGTGTAGAAAGTAAAGCTGATAGTGTAACCGTCATTTGGCCTGACTTTAACCCTTGCTTGGCAATTGCATTCGGATACCCGGTGCTCTCGCCTGTCCGGCTACTTTTCAAAAAATGTTCTTTGCAAGGGAAACATTTTCGAAGAAAAATTAATTTCTTAATTCATGAGTACTATTCATAATAATATCAGATATATTATGACTGACAATTCAATTTTCTATTCCATTTATAACAATTTAAAGAGCTTTATGATACGAAACTCATTATGTCATGTCAATGACGAAATTTCTTCAGCAATTTATGCAAACGATAGTGGCATCTTGCTACAGTACGAGTACGTGACTGGCACCCGACTAGTCAGAGCTTTAGGAGAAGCGATGCGCTCGCGTTGTCCGCGGTGCGAATGTCTTTTGATGCTCCCATGTCAGATTTTTCATCCGTTTTCGCCCGTGCAATGAAGGCTTGATTCCAGTCTCAACGATGCCAAGAATTTAAATATTCGTAAAATAAGCAACCAAAATCAAGTAAGCTATTGATTATGAAATTTTAAAGAAAAGTTTCCGGGACTTCAAATCTCAATATTAAAATCTACGTCATAAATTTATTTAACTGAGACTAACAGCTGATATGAAATTTTAGCTCAGTTGTAAGGCTTATTTAAATTTTTAATTTAGCTTCACAATGGAATTTAATTCAAGATAAACAACCCTCAGTTCTTTATGAGCTCATTTTCCAAGCTTTTCTAACTTGCGAAAAACCATCACGTAGTCTGCAGGTCTCGTCGTACCTGTGGCAGACACGCGCGGCGCATGCGCAAGTGCCCACAATGCAGGAGCGTGGGTAACAGTAACATACGCAGGCACACAACGGAAATCCGTAATGTTAGATAGGACTAGTGGTGCCGTTGACAAACAAATGAACTACAATTGCTTTGTTAAAGGGCCATGCAATAATTAAATAGTCATGCAATAGCTTGTCAGCAAATAGGCCACTACGCTATCTTGGCATTTGGCAATAAAGTATTGGATAAGGAAATCGAAAGGCCATTTTATTTGCAATTTTATGTAGCTCTGCCATTTAAAATACGAAGTTCCAAACTACCCAGAATTTTGAGAACACATGGATATTCTGAGACCATCTCGAGGCAAGCCGCAACAGCATTTTGAAGGAATGACTAAGTCGAGGAAAGTAAAGATTGTCATAGAACGAATTGTGACTTATATTTCATATTTTAATAGGACATAATATATCGTAATCTTAACGTCGTTAGAACATTCACGGCAAATAAATAGAAGTAGGAACCTGATGGATTAAAGGAATGATGCAGGAAAGCAAGAAGACGCTTGTCAATGAATATTACCCTGGACCGATGGCTCCTAAACAATTTCAACATATTACGTAGCGTAACAAATGTAACATGCCACAATTCAAATTTTATGCAGCATAACATGCCACAATACGCACGTTATGCAGCATAACATGCCTCAACATACACGTTATTCAGCATTAAATGCCACAATACCGGTATACATTTTATGCAGCATAACATGCCACAATATAAACATGCTGTTTAGCATAACAAGCTTCAATATGCACGTTATTCAGCATAACATCATGAACATGCCTCAATATACGTATTATTCAGCTTAACATAACATAACATAGCGATGTCGGCGCTGAATAGTAGGTCTGATGTGGCCTGTTGCCGATTCCTACTTTTCGTGCCTTGTTCACACAAGATCTAAAATCGTGTCATTTGACCGGATCTTTTCATGACTGACGATAGTTTGAAGTAGCTACTAGACTTCCACCGGGTTCGATAAGGAGCTAGGCATTTCAAATCTGAACATAATTTTTCCATAGCTTTATCTAGTCTGTTCTTGAAACGCGTTCATACTTGGAGCGCCAACGATGTCATTGGGGAGGCTGTTCCACATGTCGGCGATTTGAAGCGAGAATAAATGTCGCGTGGATATACGTGCTACATATATATGCTTCAATATACGTGCTATTAAGCGTATTATGCCACAAGAACTGAATAAGTATGTGATGTCCTACCACCGACACCTCGCTCAAACGTTCCTCCTTCCCTCTGTGGGCAGATAGAATATACCATCACTCCACCATTATCACAGAGAACGAGAGAAATAAAGTACCCATGAGTTGATGAGGTTAATTACCATAAGAGTTGAATGAGGTACCTCAAAGACAAAGTTACTCCCAAGAGGATATATCTACAAGGGTTGGAATAATTCTACGTACAGGTGAATTACAAGAAAAATAGTTTTTACCCTAAGAGTTAATTTACCCCAGGAATTGATAACTCCCAGGTTGGGAAGCGCTGTTATAGGGGCTATAAAATATGCACGATGTTGATCGACTACAAATTACAGTAAACACTGAAATTGATAAGGAACTTACGTGCAAGCTCTATAAAACTCATTAATAACAAAGAACTAGAGATCGATTAGTCAACGACGACCTCGCAGCATGATGAACATAGGTGCGACTTTAAACTATCATAACTATTAAATAAGACAAGAGCTCATCAAAAACTAATGCATTTGTATAAATATCACAATTAAAAGCATCTAGACGTTTTGACTAGGAATGAACTTGTACTTAAAATTGTTATGAATTATGACACAGAAATACCTTATTGCTTAGATGCAAATTATACATCAGTTTTAGTTTGCCTGAGAGAAAAAGTATTGAAGAAATTCGTGCAGATTACATATTTGGTACGAGTTATAAAGAATGCGTTTATAATAAAAAATGAAAAATATGAATGCGGGGTTGGTGTTGAAGATTAGGCCTGCCTGGCCGGTTACTCATTTTTGGCATCACACAAGCTCCACAGCTAGCTGCGGGTCCAAACCCGCAACTCACTGCTCCAAACTTAGTAATCTCAATCATTCGGTCACGATAGCGGATACAATTTAAACACTGGAATGCATCATCAGATGAGTTCTAAGTAATAATTACGGTAATGACTAATAAAAAGCATCATGATTAAATAATGACTAGTGAACAGCATCAAGATTAACGTAATGAATAGTAAACAGCATCATGAATAACGTATGACTAGTATATTTCTTCTTTTAATTACTATTTTTAATTACTATATAAAACAACGAATGTGTAAAAGCCCTCATTTGATACTAAGAATAAGATGAGATCGGCATGGATAATCAAAGATTTACTTCCATCATTGGCGCGAGGACAAAACTAGGAGTGGGAGGTGAATAAGGCGACCAAACGTGAACACGTGAGTTGATTCAGCGATGAGGGTAAAGCGGCCTGGATGAGGGTAGCTGCCTGGATGAGGGTAGCTGCCTGGATGAGGGTAGCAGCTTGGATGAGGGTAGCTGCTTGAATGAGGGTAGCTGCTTGGATGAGGGTAGCAGCTTGGATGAGGGTAGCAGCTTGGATGAGGGTAGCTGCTTGGATGAGGGTAGCTGCTTGGATGAGGGTGCCTCCTCACCACCCCCACTTGACGGGGGGGTAGAGAGCCAGCACCCCAAGCATCAGGGCCAGCAGGGGGCGGTCGAGACACCAACACCCCGCCACCACCGCCAGGTTCAGCGTCGCCGCGAGGCTCACCGTCAGGCGGCCTCCCGACCCCCCGCCGGTGTCACGAGGTAGACCACACGCGCACGCTGCACACACCGGGGACTTAGTGAGTCAAGTTCACAAACCTCACCAAGGTAGCGATGTTTGGTCAGACATGTGGACAGTGAACACTCAGAGAACACTCAAGCTGTCAATGAACTAATGGTACAAAAGAGGTACAAGTTATGAAGATTATTTACCAGAAACAAGGTCTAAACTACATTAGAAATACATACGATTTCATTCGGTAAATTCGTAATAAATTTCATTATAAGGTACCTAGTCAGGACACGACACCTTACAGAAACCTGGAGGAGGGCATGACACCCACCAAGATCCTGGAGGAGGGGCAGCAGGAGGGCATGACACCCACCAAGAACCTGGAGGAGGGGCAGCAGGAGGGCATGACACCCACCAAGAACCTGGAGGAGGGGCAGCAGGAGGGCATGATACCCACCAAGAACCTGGAGGAGGGGCAGCAGGAGGGCGACGGCGGCGCAGAGGAGGGTGAAGGCCACGAGTCTAAGGCCCCACGCGGCACGTGAGGCACGTTTATGGTGGGTCGCCAGCACCGCGTCAGCGCCCTGCGTGCCCTCCTGCAGCAGCACGAGCTCCTGCCCCCCGGAGCTGCGGTACGGCTTGATGGTGGAGCCCTCCAGCGTACCAACGATGGAGTACTGCGGGTACCAGGGTACTTTAGGGCGTGATACGGGTAATGTGCCAACCGTGGAGTGCTACCAACGCAAGTCATATACTTACATGACAAAATATTCACGCATATAACATTGTTTATCCAATTGTAACAACCCACGTGTATTGAATTATGTATACAGCAAAATAAACATTACATCATTTACACGGGAAGTCACCAGGACAAATAAGAATGTTTCAAATGTCAGAAAATTACATATTTGCATTTTGTAAACATGAAAAATGATGAAATTTTCCTTTGAGAGTTTAACATGAAATACTTGACCAGCAGACACCCTCTAGAGTTGAAGTACAAGGTTGAAAAATGAATATATAATTCGTAATCGAAAAATGTTATACTGCCCCTCATAGGCGATCAACGCCAGTGTAATATGTTACTATCATCAAATGGTATGAGTGATAATACCTCGGCCATCTTGTTCACCAAGAGTAAAACACAACAAACATATGGGTCAAAGTAGCCAAACACAAAGTTAAAGTAGCCACATGGGTTGAAGCAGCACCACAACCACCACATGGGTTGAAGCAGCACCACAACCACCACATGGGTTGAAGCAGCACCACAACCACCACATGGGTTGAAGCAGCACCACAACCACCACATGGGTTGAAGCAGCACCACAACCACCACATGGGTTGAAGCAGCACCACAACTACCAGACTCACGCTAGTGCTGGCGTGGCCGGCGTAGTAGAACTGGACCCTGAGGTCCCCCACACGAGGACTGAAGATGTCGCTGGTGTGGTAGTACATGCCCGCGTGCAGCTTCACGTCCCCTCCGCTGGGCTCCTCGTCCCCTGAGAACGGCTCGAACTTCGTGAAGGTCTCCAGGATCTCCGAAGACAGCAAGTAGTTGCCGATCTTCACGGTCTCCGCCGTCTGGATTTCCGACTGCAGGGGGAACGACCTGCAGAGGTTGGTTGATTTTACAGGTTTGAATTAAGAGAATTTTTGTCAAGTTATTCTTAAGAAAATCAATTTTGAAACGATTTTTATAGCTGATTTTAGTTGAAAAAATGATCATGAGGAAGCAGATGGGGTTGTCGTGGCCATATGGCACGTTGAGGGCCGCCACTCACGTGGGGTTGTCGTGGCCATATGACGCTGAGGGCCGCCACTTACGTGGGGTTGTCGTGGCCATATGGCACGCTGAGGGCCGCCACTTACGTGGGGTTGTCGTGGCCATATGGCACGCTGAGGGCCGCCACTTACGTTGGGTTGTCGTGGCCATATGGCACGCTGAGGGCCGCCACTTATGTGGGGTTGTCGTGGCCATATGGCACGCTGAGGGCCGCCACTTACGTGGGGTTGTCGTGGCCATATGGCACGCTGAGGGCCGCCACTTACGTTGGGTTGTCGTGGCCATATGGCACGCTGAAGAGACCGCTGTCGACCAGCTTGTCCTTCCAAGCGGTGGAGTAGGAGGGGGCGGGCGGGCGGAGGGGCGAGGCGTCACCGGGAGAAATCTCCACATCCAGCCTGCGCAATAATTTCAAATGCAGTCAATAATAAATTCCTTACAGTTTTAATGATAAGTAAAAAAGTAAACCTTTTTATTGAGCGATAAAAACTTAGCCAATTCCGTAATTGCTGAAGGAAATGATCAGTTGAGATGCCAGGTGAAATTAATGACGCAATAATTTTATACATTAATTAACAAGTTAATTAATTTTTTGTCAGTTTTCTATTCACTTCATTACCATGTTAACCTCGCAAAATTCGTGACAAAAAACCTATTATTGAGAAAAAAAAAAAACACACTACCACTAACCCCTGTGATATTTCAGTTACTAAGTTCCTAGACAGGACCATTCATGGTCCTAGCGCTCTGAGGATTGTTACTCGCACCTACCCCAAACATTTGCCATATCATTAAGTAGGATATAACCTTTATGGAGGGAGAAGGGTTATAAGCCTTCATGGAGTTTTCTGAATATTTGTGAAAGTTCTAGCCCTCTGTGTTGTGCTTTAAGCCTTTGTGTTGTAAGGGTGTATTATGCCCTTTTTGTTGATATTAACCCTTTGGAGTGCTAAGCCTTTGTGTTGTGTTCTAACCATTCATTGAGGAGTTTTAACCCTTCATAGGAAGTTCAAACTATTAATATGAGGTACTAACCCTTCGTTGGGGTCTTCGATCCACTGGTACATCTGGACACGACGCTTGAGACGCACGGCGTCGATCTCGACGCCATAGAGCAGGTCTCGCAGGGGCGGCGACGTCACCAGCTCCCCTGACACGTGCACTACCTGCCCAGGACAATAGGGATAAAACAAGCTCTTTAGCATCCACTTCCTACAACCACATTCAATTTAGTTTCAAGACAATAGATCTACAACCACATTCCATTTAGTTTCAAGACAATAGATCTACAACCACATTCCATTTAGTTTCAAGCTAATAGATCTACAACCACATTAAATTTAGTTTCAGGCTAATAGATCTACAACCACATTCAATTTAGTTTCAGGCTAATAGATCTACAACCACATTCAATTTAGTTTCAAGCTAATAGATCTACAACCACATTCAATTTAGTTTCAGGCTAATAGATCTACAACCACATTCAATTTAGTTTCAGGTTAATAGATCTACAACCACATTCAATTTAGTTTCAAGACAATAGATCTACAACCACATTCAATTTAGTTTCAAGCCAATAGATTATATATACTACTAATACAAGTGGATTTGCTTGCATTATCAAAGCTTCTATATTCCAGTATATATAACCTTTTTCTAGATTCTTTTTGATAAAATCAGGCTGCCTCCACAGCTCCTATATAGCTCAACATAGCCAACTAGCCTGCCATATCAACTATTTACTCTAAAGAGTAAATTAGGTGCGTTCTTATGAGTACTACCTAGCTCCTCTAGCAGCACTGGTTACATTGTAACTACAGTGAAATAATGTAGAAATGTTATCAACTAAATATTACTATCAATGGATGGTCACTATTTAAATCATTTAATAGTAGATAAATACAAATTTTCCCATGGTTAATCATCAAATATAAGCCCCACACAGCCTGCCTTAGAGGTCAGTAGCATGGCCTGTTGAATATCTATTGGTAAGCTAGGTACACATTTTTTTTAATCAATAGATGGTGTGCACCCATCATTTATTGACTAAGCTTGATGGAGATAAGCTATACACACATACTTAATCTATTGGTAGCTTTACCAAAATCAGTTCACGCACATACTACATCCAGTGTTAGCTTTGCTGGGGTTACCAGGGTTCCGCCAGCCATACTTATAGCACTTTTATGTGGACCCCATCAAAGGCTTGTAATTAAACCTATTCCACAACTTTGCAACTAATCTGTATTTTCAAACTCTCAAAATAAAAAGAACAAAGAATAAATAACCTGAAGTAACAAATAAATGAAAGAAAGAGAAAGTATGAACAAATGCTTCTCATGAATAAATTAATCTAACTTTACAGAATATAACAAAATAAAGAAAACTTTGGAATAAGCACTAAATGTTAAACACAAGAACAAGCAAATAACCAAGTTAAAACAAACCTTGACACTGTGGGTTCAAATGTGGGACTGACTAGGATGGACTATAACCTACAAATCTAACTTCTGCATTTATAAACTGAAAAACAAAACTACAAAATGGTAAAAATACCAAATTCTAATTCCCTAGCAGCTTTCATGCAGGATCTACCAACCTTGCCATCATGCTCAGCAGCAACTGCATCAGCTGATGCCAGGGGCACCACCAGATGCTGGCCCTCATCCAGGCTGCGTGTCATTTGCACTGCATTGGTCTGAACACATAAGAGAAATTGTAAAGAATTATTTTGAAAATTGTTGAGCCCTTTTTAGTGCATTTTCATATTTATGGAAAAAAATAGGCGCTATTGTGCTTGCCATGTTCATCCATCCATCTGTCTGTCTGTCCGTCCATGACTTCACATTTTCGTCGACAAGAAAATGCTCTCTCTGTCACTCACTGCAGTGAGTAGGTACCGAGATATATTTTTTAACACTTAGTGTAAGTGAAACATGGATGCAGTGCACTACTCTGATTATTAGGCTACTTATCTTCTTTTAAATTTGATTTTATTCACTGGAATCTTGGTTCACATATCTAATCCATTTACTACCTTCAATAGCACCTCAAATTACTACTGTATGGTACCTTATTTGCTGCCAGAAAATAAATTTATCCCATACTTTTCTGAATTACATTAAATATTTGTATAGTATCTATGCACTTGACAAAGTATAATAAAAAATTAGATAATTATTCAGCAGTAGTTGAATGAATAAAATGAATTTTCTCACGCAGCTTACCTCATTCCAGACCAGCAGGATGACTGCCAACAGCAGCACAAGACATCCCACAGCTAACCGTGAGTAGGACGTTTGCACCACACTCCAGATGTGATTCATTGATGAAATCTTCAGGACAAAAGTGCATCGTTAAAATTATGAATAATGATAAACTGTACACATGTACACAGTCATGATAAATTGTACTCATGTACACAGTCATGATAAATTGTACTCATGTACAGTAATGATAAACTGTACACATACAGATTGTAGAACAGCAAGAATGCTTAACCTTACATGATAGCTATTGCACATGGGATGTGTTCCATTTTCTATGGTTATTGTCAATTAAACAGCATACCGTAAAATGGGGTTACTTTGACCGGCGGGGTAACTTTGACCACATTTAGTTTTTTTTAACAAAAACTCCCAAAACTCCAAAACGATTTGACATAGAAAAATTTTGTCAGTTGCCATTAAAGGCCTAATACTGAGGCTACGTAACACAATAGAAAGATTTAGAAAGTTTGCATATCTAAAAGGTTAAAAAATTAAAAATGTGACCCACAAAAAAGAGCTATTATTTAAAGCCTGTGGGAGTACCCCCTCCAATTTTTTTTTGTAAAATAACTACAAATTTTGATGCATTACAGTAAAACTCTCCTAGTTACATATGCAAAAGAAAAATTTTAGTTAAGTGTCATAGTTTGCAAATGGGGGAACTTTGACCACCTAATAGCAGCCGTGACAGGGTAACATTGACCGGCTTGGAAATTAAGTTAAAATTACCATAGGTAAGGTACCTATATAACATATTTTATGTTTGATACACCTATTAATGTTTTTTTCTCTATGTTTCAGACTCTACAGAGTCTTATATATGGTAATTTTAACTTAATTTCCAAACCGGTCAATGTTACCCTGTCACAGCTGCCATTAGGTGGTCACATTTTGCCAATTGGGGGGCGGCGCCCCCCATTTGCAAAATATGACACTTTCCTAAAATTTGTCTTTTGCATATGTAATTAGACGAGTTCTACTACCATGCACAACAACCTGGAGTTATTTTACCAAAGAATAAAATTGATTTTACCACCCGGTCAGAGAAACCCCAAGAGCTGGGGTAACAAAGACCATCACTTTTTTTGAAATTACATCAAAACTATGAGAGGCAGGAGCCAGCAATTTATGGTGAGTAAAGCTAGAGTATAGACCTGTATTTTGCACGTTTCAATTTAAGTTCAACTTATCTAGTAAAAAAATTGTATCATTTTGAAAAAAAACGGTCAAAGTTACCCCATTTTAAGGTACCTATCTACAGTCTACAGATCCCTAATGCAATGGTCATACAAATGAGCTTATGCCATTTTGGCATTATATTTGGCTAGTAAAACATGATTGAAATTTCACATTCAAATGATTCAATGCCAGAAGGAGACAAGCTTAATAAGAGTTGCAAAAATCAGAAGCAGAATTTATTAAAACTCACCCGCATTTTGAGAAAAATTCAATTATACTGAACAATTCAGAATGAAGTGGAAGTGCACTCACTACATTGATTACAGCATGAAAACTTTCTGTTCAAGCAAGTCTTGTTGAGTACCTAGTTAAAATTATTTAAAAATCAAAACATGAAACTTGACAGGACTCAATGGGTCATCTGGATTTAAGTATTCTAGATTATTACTGTATTTAGTCTTAGATCATCTTCATAAATATTAATGGTTAATCTTATTCCTGGCCTCCAACCCTCCATTTGAAAGCAAATGACTCACTCAAGTCTCAATTTTAGTTTTCCCTAAAAAAAAACAAAAGCCTAAGTAGAAAATTGAGCTGAAGCCACTCAAGAATTAAACAAAAACACCCATCATGACCCATGAAGGCATAAACCTGGCTAATTTCACCCATTCCTATTGCTGCTTCCCAAATCCCAATTTCTTCAGTAAAAAAATAATATAAATGGCCCATTTCTGCCCCTGATTAAAAAAAATCATGTACAAAACTGTAGCAAAATAATTATTTTAAAAAATTTGGCTAAATATTCCAAATAGAGGCAAGAACTAATAATTTATTTAACAATTTGAAATAGGATTCAAATAGGTCCTTAACATTGAATTTCTGCTCAATAATTAGTATTAATTACTAAGTTTCTAAAATGCTGTGACTAACTTTTCCTAGTACTACTTTATTTGAAATATTATGCAGATGTTTTCGAAAATCATAGGTACCTACAAACAATCATTTCATCATTTTCATGGTTGATTTCCAGAAATCAAAGGTAAAAATAGGCCATTTTTTCACTGAAGAAATCAGGAAAAGGCAATGGAATGGCCAATGGGTGAAATTGGGTACCTAGTACTAGTGGCCAGATGCTGCCACTTGCCAGACAGTCCAGACTCACAATCACAAGTCACAGACTCACAGCCTCACAGGTATTCTGCCCAATTCCTCTGCTAGATCCTGTCCCATCTTCCACAATGCCTGTCACTCACTGCTGTCAGCCTGTCTACGACAGTACTGATCATCTGAAGTGACTATCAGTCTATCAGTCAGACAGTCACTCTTTAATGAGTCCCACAAATCCTCAACGAGTTCAATTGTGAACAGTTGTAGTTAATATTTAATTATATCGATGATTTGCTCATTTTGCTGGTCATCAGATTCAGACTCATCTGAACTTCTGAAGACATAACTTATAAGCATTAAGCCCTGGCCCCTAGGGCCCCTAGCCCCATGATCCCATCCCCCGCCATCAGCGCGGGCGGCGCCATGGCACCTGCTATTGGCTGCTAAAATTATCACGAGTTTCAATCAATCCTGATCCATGTTATTGGTCATTGGTGTGACTGAAGCCTAATCATTTTCAGCAACCACCAACCGCTCAGCACAGACAGCACTTCAATGGTATGGGATAATGGGCATTGGGCAATGCGCATACAATCTAAACTTCTAAAGCGGGCAATGGCATGAGTCTCATGACCAGCAGGAGGTGCTGAGGATGAGCTAATAGGCTTAGCTCAGGCGGCGGTCAGGCCACAGGGGCTGAGATCTTCTTTTCCGGGAGTCCACGGCTCCAAGCTCGGTGGACTCAAAGCCACAACACAACCGCAAGGATGCACCTCGGGGCTCGGCGTTTGGCATGCGAGTGAGAGCTGAGATCAATTTCCGGACGCTCAGTACTTTGGGATATATTCGATGTAAACTGAATATGGAGTCCGGCCGTAAATTTGTCCAAAAAGTAAGAAGCTGTAGGTAACTGAGTAATCTCACCAGTCACCACACCAATTTTAAGTCATAGCTGCCTCACTCCACAACCTGCTGCATCAAATAGTTGATTGTCAACAGGTCCTACTCCACAGATTTTTTTTTATTATTTTTACCTCATGCTATCACTTCTTACACGTGCGGTGAGCCTTACTGTCCGCAGACAACGCCGGATCGCCGTACACCTGGCGTCACCTGCTTTGCTCCTTACGGGACTGACGTAATCGAGCTCCACTTCACAGGCAGAAGCGCATCTGGCCAAACCTATTCCGCTATGCCCCATCTTTCCCCCATTCGCACACGCTGCCAGCAGGCTTTTCTCAGTGTCCGATGAAGGGGTGGATAGCTAGAGGTCAGCATAACCCAAGTCACAGTGCGATTCATATACCTTCCCGAGCGTAACGCAGCCGGGCATCTTCACGGCTTTTGACACAAAGCGCCCACCACAACAGCGCCGTTCAGTCACAGGCACTGGTTCACAGCGCCGGAGCACAACTGGCCGGAGCGCTACAGGCCCTACCGCAACAACTACTCCTAACGTAACCTAACCTAACCTAACATGCGCCGCTTGTTGCGGTAGGGCCTGTTGCGTTCCGGCCAGTTGTGCTCCGGCGCTGTGAAGCAGTGGCTGTGTTGTGCAAAGCGGATTTACTGTTAGCCGGAGTTACCCACAGCTCATTGATCTGAGGCTATGTGTAGATATTGCATGCTGATGGTTGGCGTTGGGCCCAGGGCCTGTTTACGAGTCAATTTTGTTACCCACGGCCACGCCTGCGCTCCCCGATGAAGATGATCCGATCAGTGATGCGCCAGGCGCAGTGGAGAGCGATTATGAACGTGCCGTTCTTGGAGCAGTTCGTCCGAGTACGTTATTCGTGTGCTCCCTTCGTGCGTATTGTGCTTGTGAAAAAATGCTTATTGCCTTACGCAGCCGTGGACCAAAAATTTAACTCATAAACAGGCCCTGGCGCCAATGCGTACACTCATAATGCAATAATGCAATAACTATACTCAGCCTCACACCCAAGAAGCTGTAGGTAACCGAGTCATCTTACCACACCAACTTTAACTCCCAGATACCTCACTCCACAGCAGTAATATGTACTGAATTGTGGACATTGGCTGTGATGACCTCTAGCATGCATCCCACGCATCGTCCTAAGAGATAAGGTCCCCATATATAATAGTTAATATTGATTCTACATATTTGCTGAGTTTTTAGCTGCATTTTAATTCTTCAAACGTACGAATTTATTTGGTGTTTTAGGAAGCGTTCATGAGATGCACGACTATGATTCACCATCATGACTTCTTTCCGCTCATTTATAAAATTGATATTCAAATATCTACTAAAATGATTCGGTAATTTTTTGGTAAATGTTCGCATGAGTAAAAATATATTAAAATACTCATTATCATTCATGCATTAGAACTCGCGTATTTCTGGCATGACAGTTTTGCGGCAAATGATTTACCTATAAAATCTATCTAGCGACTCGGAATCAACTCGTCTCTAGTTGTCACTCTCAGCATAATCTGCACGAAGTTAGCGTTCTATAAACTATTTCTTTGAATGTTAAAACTACTCGCATAACTACGAGATGCTTACTGCTATTGCGTCAGGATCATAATTAATTCAAATAATATGGGGTAAAATATAGGCCGCTCGTAGTTTTTGTCGAACATGCCTTCCTTTGTCAACCGCTTTCTGGAATGCCACCAAATATATTTCACTGAAAAGAGGACACATGACCCCTAAGTAATATAATTATTTTATTCATCGTCACCAAATTTGACGCAGCAAAATGTTATTAGGTAATTTATTTTAGAATTAATTCCGATTTCGGTGCACGCGTTGTTAACTCATTCCTTGGTGCTCAAGCTGAGGGAATATGTAGAAACAACTTTCAAGCGCAATGAAAGTTTTTATTAGTTACACATATAAATAGATCAAATTGGTAAGATTTTCCAGGAAGACCCATTACTACTCAGCCTGTTCTCAAACCGGCGACACGCATGGTCAGTCATCAGTTACGAACAAAAAGTACCGCACCGCTCCGATGTTTAATATTTGTCAATATGAAGCATTATTTTATTTTTATTTAATATTTGTCAATGTATGCGCCAGATGAAGTATTACATGCTCAAATTTTACCGGACGTGTGCATTTCTAGACCCCCAGAGGCACTGCTAGACCTTTTTATGACTTATGTATAGCCTTCGATTAGTATATTTGAATTATTAGAACTAATCACTGGTTCATAACTTCACAGTCTTTGATCAGATAATATTTTTACCTTCAAAACTGACTGACAATTTTTTACTCGCAACAAACGTCTAAAATCTAGAAAATTCAATGTTGTATTGTATAAATAACTCTACGATTGATTTTAATACGGCTGAAAATTTGCCGTATTTTACCTATGAGCTTTAATGATGAGCCGGTGTTGATTGGTCAGATAACAATCCCTGAGCTACCTTTCGATTGCATCAAATATAATGTGGGACAAAACTATAACTTCAATACCTGAAAATTTCACATATGAATATTGCCATCACTCGTAAGTAGTCGGATATTTAAATGTTCTAAATTGTTCTTTGAATTTTCATTCATATGTACGTTCTCAAAGATATCTTCTACATTTTCCTTTATCTTGAACATGTTGATCGATCGTCCTGTGTTTCTATATTCTTGAACACCTAAACATTATCTGACATACGTAGTACTCACATTCCATACCTTTAGACGTTATCCTACATGTGAGCGTTGTACACATTTGCGCGTCCTCTAAATTAATGTTCGCCGTTTTTATGTTTATAACTCATAAATGCAGAACACGCACAATGAAATCTGTGTCGAGCTCTAAATGTACGAAAACGCGCCAACTGAATTGTAAGCCATTGTCCACCGGCAACAATTAACTTGACAAACATTAATTCTTTTAATTTTCAATTTTCGTTCTGAAAAATTGTAATTTGATATATTTTAATTTTTTTTCTGCGAAAAATGTTTTAATAATTAAAACCTTATAATTGATTGTTTTATTATAATTATAATTGATTATATTTAAAATTATATAAGTTATAAAATTATAATTATATAAAATTGAAATTATAATTATAATTGATTATTTTGGAGCACGAATATTATAAATTCGAACTACTATCCTACGATTTAATCGTCTTTGAAACATGGAGGAGATGATGCACCTGGTATCCAACAGGTCTTTGTTAAAATTCTGTTCATTTTCCTGTCATTTTCGTTGCTATTGAATAATTGGATAATTTATAATTCGACTCATCAATTGATCTTAATGCCAGTTGCGCACAAAAACATCTAAATTTCGTCCATTATTTGTAATGATTAATATGATAATAAGTTTGATAGGTATTCTATATTTATTTCGCATTTAGAAGTGCTCGTGTTATGGTTGCCCTGAATTGTGTATGCCGCACCGCTTGAAAATTCTGAAAACGGCGATTGTTTCCTGGCTTCCACGAGTGGGGCTTCAAAAACGTTTTCATACAATTTCT